GCTGCTGTTCGGACTATTTACTATAGCCCGTACAGCAGCCGAGCCGAAGGCTGGCTCCGCCCAGCTGTCAGTAGTAGGCTTTCGGCCTGCTTCGGCTTTTACCTCGGCTCTGTTGAGCCGAAGCATATGCCTTCGGCTCGACCAACTTTGTGAGCTGTACGGGCTATAGTGAATAGCCCGTACAGCAGCCATTGTTCTACTGAACCGAAGGCTTCCCGTAACCGAAGCTAGCCGAAGAATCAGCCGAAGCTATGGCTGGATCCTTCGGCAGCTTTGTGAATAACCCCCTAAAACTTTTAAACAACAAGGAGCAGCGTCCATTGTAAGTGATTTCATCAGCATTTGAAATTGTTTAAAACCTTTTGACTTTCATATCACTTTAAGAAAGGGAGAATCCACCTCTCAGTGTATACACATTGCTATCCAGTATATGTCTATATACAGTATATGTGAGTTGGGAACTTCAGCGTCAGGGATCACACTTTTGCAGAGTTGTCTTAACATGGCCGTGTGGCTGCCTCGTGTTATTTGAAACATATGCAACCAAAACCTCCGTTCCTGGATCTGAGATGTCATATAACTTTGTAGTCTGCTGCTAATAAATGGTTCAGAGAAGTTGTTACTTTGTTGCTTTTTTTTCTGTCTGTGTCTCTGATAGGGAGATTCCTCCTCTCTATATGTCCTGGGGACGATGGAAAGTCAGGGAAAATCCAATATTTTCAGAATTTACCAGAACAGCTCTGGAGGGTAAATCTTCCAATATAAACATGTGCCCTGCTGCTGACAACTATCTAAAGGGGTCATGTCCTTCACTTTGTGTCTACAGGACAGGATGTGAAGGGAAATTTCCCTATTGGGGCCAATATGACTAAAAAAGCCAACAGGGGTTTAAATGCTTTAGACCGGCCTTTCTCAAGCAGGGTGCCGTAGCCCCCTAGGATGCCTTCTGGCTTCCTGAGGGGGTGCCCTGAAATTTTCACACAGTGGCATGCTTCTGATGTAAAAGAGGGGGACTCTGATGTGAAGGAGGGCTACTGATATGAAGAGGGTTTCCTAGTGTGAGAAGGGGGGCTCTGATGTAAAGGAGGACTTTTATATGAAAGGTGGCACTCTGGTCGTGTTCTTGTGTCTGCCCTGAAAATTCATTCCAGACCACTATCTGGGATTAGGGTCTGGTATGGATTTTGGAGTGACCCCACATAATTTTTTACATTTATGGTTTTTACATTTTAGAATGAGGAACCTCAAGATTTAAAGGGTGCATTGGCTATAAGAAGGTTGAGAGGCACTGCTTTAGATACACTTTAAAGCTGTAGTTTAATCTGCTTATATTTTGCCATTCCTGGTCTTTTCCCTCCTCATCAACAGGCTACTGTCACTTTAAAACAAAACCTTTCCATCTTCATTACATAACGTGTTTTAGACCCCGTGATGTCATCACTGGGGCTCCATGCTTCTCTATACAATGCAGGCAGTTCCTGGCTGGTGGGAGGGGTCAGCAGGGTGCTGTACCCACCCAAGATAATGCCCACATGTGATTACTGAAATCCAATGGATGAAAGGTGGCAGGCCAGGGACAATAAGGCTGGGGAGGAAAATTGTAGATGATGCTGGATGTTCTCCAGCCAGGAAATGAGACAAGCTTTATCTGACTTGCTGCAGCTCCTAACATTGTGAGAAGCTCACAGTGTGCAGTGAAATCAGAGTAAGCCATTTCATTCCTGGAGAGGAGCCGGTACAGTTGTGCAAGGCTGACGGGAAGGCCGGACCCACATGAAAAGAGATGCAGGAAATGGTACAGACAGACTGAAGATGCAGCCCCCCGGGACACACTCCGGCCCATTACATAAGGAGGTCATGGGAGATGCCGCTAGAGAAAAGCACACAGTGATACCCCAGGGGGGCTTGTAAATATCAGAAGGGCTCTCCGGTCTATATAGTGTCAGCAGAATGAGTCAAAGTGTGAAAGTTTCAGTCAGTTAATATCAGCATTCCATCATGGGAGACATGAGACAGCAAACTGCGGGGTGAAGGTCATTAAACCGAAAACCACTCGCTGACCAACTTTCAATCTCAGTCACACGGGAAGAACGGGAACACTACAGCCTGCACAATGCAGTCCTTGTAATCTCTGCGCTGTGTGCAATGATCACAATGTCTGCTGCTCAATCATTGTAAAGTGGAAGTTAACAGTGGCAACCACCTCAGTGTCACTATATATATATATATATATACTGTATATACATCATGTACACTGATCAGCCATAACATTATGATTACTGACAGGTGATGTGAATAACATTGATTATCTGGTTACAATGGCTTGGGGGGATATATTACAATGGCTCCTGGAAGTGGGGGGATATATTACAATGACATCTGGAAGTGGGGGGGCAGTGAAATATTAGGCAGCAAGTGAACATTTTGCCCCCGAAGCTGATGTGTTGGAAGCAGAAATAATGGACAAGTGTAAGGATTTGAGCGACTTTGACAAGAGCCAAATTGTGATGTCTACATGACTGGGTCAGAGCAACTCCAAAACTACAGCTCTTGTAAGATGTTCCCGGTTTGCAGTGGTCAGGACTGACCAAAAGTGGTCCAAGGAAGGAAAACCAGTGAACTGGCAACAGGGTAATGGGCGGCCAAGGCTCATTGATGTATGTGGGGATCGAAGGCTGGACCACGTAGTCTGATCCAATAGATCTTCGGGACCTTTTCAAGCGTGGCCCGTTTTGTAGTGCGTTCGGGACGGATGGAAATACGGACAGGTGGGAACTATACCATTCACTTCAATGATTTTTACATTTTGGTCCGTTTTGTAGTGCGTTCATCGAGCGTAGGACGCACTACAAAACGGTCAGGTGTGAACCAGCACTTAATGTTGGTTCCGATACAACGTAGTCTGATTCAATAGATAAGTTAAGGTTAGTTCCAATATAAATGTGTCTGAACACACAGAGCATCGCAGTTTGTTGTGTATGAGGCTGCGTAGCCGCATACTAGTCAGGGTGCCCATGCTGACCCGTGTCCACCGCCAAAAGTGCCTACATGTGCACGTGAGGATCAGAGCTGGACCGTGGAGTAATGGAAGAAGGTGGTCTGGTCTGATGAATCATGTTTTCTTAAACAATGTGTGGACGGCCGTTTGTGTGTGTGTGTCACTTACCTGGGGAAGAGATGGCACCAGGATGCACTATAGGAAGAAGGCAAGGCGGCGGAGGCAGTGTGATGTTTTGGGCAATGTTCTGCTGGGGAATCTTGGCTCCTGCCATTCATGTGGATGTTACTTGTTACTTGTGCCCTGTCACACTGCAAAAATGGTTCAAGAATGGTTTGAGGTGTTGACTTGGCCTCCAAATTCTTCAGATCACAATTCAATGGCGCATCTGTGGAATCTGCTGGAAAAACAAGTTAAATCCATGGAGGCCTCACCTCACAATTTACATGACTTAAAGGATCTGCTACTGACGGCTTGGTGCCAGATACCACATTATAACTGCAGAGGTCTAGTGGAGTACATGCCTCGACGGGTCAGGAAAAGGGGGACCAACTCAATATTAGGCAGGTGGTTACTTAAGTGCTTAGAAAAAAGATCACAGCTGCTGCACCCAGCTTTCCCATACAAGGGATCACTTGTATGCCGCTGAAAAGGCTGCCCCAGCACCCCGTCCCCTGCCTCCACTGTCCCTCATGCAGACCCAGCACTGGCACAGCGAGTCTCTGCTACTGTAGTGCCAGATCTCACCTCCAATTCCTGAACCCGGAAGCAATGAGGATTTCATCACTTCCAGTTTCAGGCTGTCATTTCTTTGGCTGCTGTGTCGAGAAGAAGCTGATGACACAATAGAATTAGTTAATATTATGTGCATTCATACAAATGTGTAGGTGGAAAACCTCCAGAGATCACAGAAGTCTCCCTGACAATGCCTTCATCTGATATTCCATCTAGGACGGAGCCATCTTTGTCCCGGCATCCTCCAGGGTCACCATCTACTTCCTGGACTGAGATGCTCAAGACTCAGAGATACACAATCAAGTAATTCCTAGTGCCTGTGCAGTTCTTGTGTTCACAAATGTCTGAAAAAGATCATCTTTGTATAAAGTCCCAAGATGACCTCTCATCTTGTGACTTGATACAAAGATGCAATGTTGCATTGTGATCACTTGGGGAGAGGAGACTGAGGAAATGCTTCCTCCTGCCTGTAGCAGACTGATGACATCATCCCAGCCTAGGAAAAATTTGCTTGACTGGATCTCCAGTTCAGCTTTTGTTTACTAAAAGGTGAAGCTTTTCTAAAAAATGTTACACAGCACAGGCTTCAAGCAGTATTCTCCTACTGCCCCTGTGAGGTGGTATGCGTGTGCTCCAGGATCCAGGGGCCGGATTCTATGCTCACCTGATTCTCGGTTCTGCGGCATTCAGCACTCACCTGTCTTCCCCTCCACTCTGGCTGTGGCATGTCCATCAGTGTCCTGAGATCTAATGCAGGTGAATGGACCTGCATTATGCATGATGATTTCAGCAGGGCTTAGACCGCTGGAGCCAGGGAGAGAAGAGTCTGTAGGGATTGGTCCAGCCAGGCGGGACAGAGGACAGAGGGCAGCAAGCAGAACGGGATGGTGGCACTCCAGCCAGAGTGTCCCAGGTTACTAAGAGCCAGACAAGGAGATGTGTAAGGGCCATACACATCTCCCCGCACAGCTCTTAGCAACCTGAGACACCCTGGCTGGCATCCTGCCCAGCTCTTGGCAACCAATGACGTCAGGGAGCTGGGTGAGACTCTTGCCAGAGCTGAGATGATACAGAGAACACCCCTGCAGCATGCACCACCAGCACCCCCTCCTGTGCTTTTTTTTCGTGCCCGCTCACCCCCCCCACCACCCCCCCCCCCCCCAGCCTCAGTTGGCAAAAAGGCAAGGGGCACCCCTGCCTTGAGTTCCGAAACCTTTTATAAACCATTTGCCATACACAGTAAAAATATTAAACTAAAAGAAATAGGTTCCATTTACAGACACATATTTTATTAAAACAAACTAGTACAACCCATAAAGCAACACGTTAAACCTAAGGTGGAGGTAAAATTAGTTAAATTCTCTGTTCTGAGTTCAGTGCCCAGGCCAATCGCTGGGCCTCAGAGTATGGGTGAGCGGAGTGCAAACCCTCAGGACCCCCGTGAACTTCCACGCGGTACAGCATCGGGTTATATAAATGAGCCAGAATAGCCAAAGAGTTATCTACACCATTGCGTGACTGAAGGAAACAGTCCTATGGGAGGGGTACGTTAGGCAATGACGCATCCTCCTTTCTCCTTGAATGGGTTCTTGTCTTCTGGAATGCCCTTTACGAGGGGGTCCTCTCCGGAGTTGCCCTCAATGTAGGTCTTGATCTCTTCACACATTTTGGAGACCTTCGTGGAGAAGAAAAGAATGGTCAGGATGGGGGGAAATGGCTTGCTGAGTTAGTATTTGATAGTGATGCCCCAGTTAAGGCCTTCAGACCCTTGTCATATATCATGAACCCAGGAGCAGATTTAATGAGATGACTTGCCCCAAGTGGAGTGTCCCAACCTTCGTCTTTGGGTGTCACCCTGTACATTGATCTGCACTGCTGCTATAGATATCCAACAGGCCATCAATGGGCTCTCTGCTTGACAACCAACCTCGCTAACTCACCTCGTTGAAGACACCACCAGCCAACCAAATTGACTGCCTTTGGATGAGGCGTATTGCTGATTCCAGTTCTTCCTGGGTCTTTGTGTCCTACTGCTTACAACACCTGAGCCCTGAAGAAGGGCTTGTTGGGCCCTCAAAATGTGTTGGCATTTTAATGTTATCCTGTTATCAACTATTATTATTATAAACATTTTTTTGACTCTTGGACCTTTTGTATATTAATAAAAGGTAGAGTTTTTAAAAAAAACTATATTTTATTTTGTGAGATTTTATGAATGTATTAAGTACGCAGAGTTGTAAAGTTACTGAAACTTTCAATTGAAAGTGTAAAGCCGGCTATACACTTAACTAATTTTGGCCGTTTCCAGATGAACTGGCCTAAATCTGCACAGCGGGTGGCCCTGTCGCCACCCTTCCATCTGGCATCTATTGATCATTCAGCCCCCCATTTGTCCTCCCACTGAGCTAATATAAACCACCCTTCCCCTCCTGAGCTGAATACTGTCATTGGGTCCCATGGGGTTCCACTGCAATGGTTACACGCAGTCATACGTCCTCTTCTTCCGCAGCCTTCACGTGCCCATTTGTGACACATTCACTTCCATTGGAAAGGCATACCGGATCCGGCTAAAATATTTTTTGACTTCACTTCATCAAATGCTTAAACAAGTTTGGGGGGATTTACCTGTATCTGGGGAGGGTGCAGAAGGGGAACTCAAGGGATGAAAGGGTCTAGGGATGAAAATAAGAGAAAAACTCACCCGGTACTCGGAGCCAGCTGGATCTTAGACCAGTTCCTGCAGGAGTCTCCCCCTCCTCTGCAGGAGTCTAAGGTCCCTGAGTAATCGCGTCCTATACAGTGTATAGGATGTAAGGACGCCAAAGGACATACCATCGTTGCAGATGGCGAGTAATAAACCGCCTCCCGGCTTCCTGATTGGCCCGGGAAGCTGGCTCCATGCTGATTGGCTGGAAAGCCGGATTCCCAGCCAATCAGCAAGGAGCCAGTTGTTTTGCTGGCTCCATGCTGATTGGCCAGGAAGCCAGCTTCCGAGCCAATCAGCAAGGAGACGGCTTCCCGGCCAATCAGAAAGCCGGGAGGTGGGCCATTACAGGCCACCCGGCTTCCTGATTGCCCAGGAAGCCGGCTCGATCCTGATTGCCCAGGAAGTCGGCTCCATGTTTCCCTACGGTACTGCCTATTAGAGGAAATTTTCGGTATCAGGTTAGGTATTGGAGCATTTGGGCGAGTACGAGTACTAACCCAAATACTCTGTATCTGCTCCGATACTAGTATCGGTGTCGGTGCATCCCTATTTAGGCCCCACCCACTACAGGCTGCCTGCAGAAAACTACAGGCTTCAAGGGCCAAACAGTTCAGCTTCAAAGGCCAAGTTTACTTCTCCGACCATGTTTCATGTTACATCAATATTAGGGTGTAACATGAAACATAGTCAGATTGCAATGGGAGGAAGAGTCTGCAGGAGCTGGAGCATTGCACTCATGATACACTGATCACAGATGCAATACAGAGGGACTTGTCATTCTCAATGGGATACAAGTGCTGTGATGTTGTCAAACTGGTAATCCATTCATTCTTCCTTCTGTCCATTGTCAGGTACATACAGAGGCGGAGGAAGAGTCCGCAAGAGCCAGAGCAATGTACTCATGATTCACTGATCACAGTTGCAATGCAAAGGGACTTGTCATTCTCAATAGGATACAAATGCTGTGATGTCACCATACTTTTAGTCCATTCATTCTTCCTCCTGTCCATGTACAGGTACATACAGGGGTGGGAGGAAGAGTCTGCAGTCAGAGCATTGCACCAATGATCCACTGATTGCGATTACAATGCTTTACTGGATCCAATGCAAAAAAAAACCAAATGCTAATTTTTTCTTTCATGAAGTATTATTTTTTTTCTGAAGAAGTGGACTTTGCCTTTAAAATCTATTTATGTAAAGCTGCATCATTCCTTTAATTTTTTTCTATAATGGATCTGGGTGTTAGGGTTCAGCTATTTTGTCACACACACATTGAACAGTAATACAAAATAACTCAGATAAGAGATACATTTGTATCACTCCACCAATCGCTTCCCATCCCGGGGTGACCTGGTTTCCTCTCTGAGCACACAGACTTCATATAGGATATGGCTGAAGGGTTTATGGTAATAGGATTGTAGGTATGGCTTTCCTAATGTCACCTCTATAGCAATAACACTGAGCCGAGTGTCAGCAAGCTTAACCTATTTCCTCTGAACGGTACAATATTCCATTACGCAGAACATTATTTATTACTTGTCACCCGAGAGGTCCTGTGTACTACATGAATGTAATTGTAGCAAACAGAGGCGTAACTAGAAATCACAGGGCCCCATGGCAAAATTTTGTATGGGGCCCTGTGATTTCTAGTTACGCCCCTTACAGAGCCCACCTTGGATCCCACACAGCCCACCTGAGAGTGACCCTGAAGAGCCAGCCATATACCCTTTATGGTGGGCTCTGCAGGGTCTCAGGTGATCTAACAGCGACACGTTCCTCCTCACACCCGCCGGTGACCCGCCGGTGACAGCCAGCAGCCTGCGATGCCATAGCGACCCAGGCGGCCCGCACGGCATCAGGGGGATGTCCTGGCCGTGCCCACCTGTGCCTCGAGCCTCATATTGGCCATCTGGGTCGCTATGGTGATTGTTACGTCCCTGGTAGCAAAAGGATGACATAGAGCAGGGGTGGATGAATGAATATGGAATTCCGGGGCCAGTCTGCCCAATCCGGGACCAACATTATATGACAAAAAGTTTTTTTTTGCGGTAGCCCATGAACAAGAAAACAGAAAAAATGCCAAAAACTAATAAAAACTACAACATTTTATTCCATATTTATTAAAAATCGCCAGTCGCGACCACTACACCAGATTTTCAATTGGTTTTCCTGCTGACTGTATGGTCCAGACCTTGCCCCTTCTTTGGTCCCCTCCCATAGCAGGCAACGGTGGATCCTGGGCTTCAGTGTCCCTTACTTCATAGCAAGTAACTTTCCACTCGAGCGCTTCTCTCCTGAGGAAGCCATAAAGTGGCAAAAGGCGTCAAGATAATACATCAGCCAAGGGTGGAGGAGGACCCTTACATCGTTATTCTCTCCACCAAGTTCACCATCCCAGTTGTATATCTTCTAATGTTGGTCTATAAGGGGCGTTTCATATACCCTGAAGGACTTTTCATTTTAAAAAGCATTGAATTTAAAGGAGAACTATGGGGTTAGGGCTTTTCCCCATAGTTCTCCTAAGGGTAACGGGAGGACACAAACTAGCGTCCTCCCGTCACCCAAAGCTCAGTATACATACTGAGACGCCACAGCCGAGACGGATCCCGACATTACTGTCGAGATCCACCCAGCTGCGTGATTGACAGCTGGCTCTGCCTATCTAGAGTAGGGCCAGCTGTACCCGCCCCCTCCCCCATCCGTTCCGCCAGTCAGCGCTGGAGGATCGGACAGGGGAGGGGGAATCCCTGCAGGGAGCCGTGAGTGACAGTCACGGCTCTCTGCGTGGATAGATCGAGAAGTGAGCAAGCAACGGTATTTGTTCGCTCACTTCCCGATCTATTGAGCCGACCTGTGAGTTTCATTGTCACAGGTCGGCTAGAACTATGAGGTGAGTTATTTTCACTCACCTCATAGTTTTCCTTTAATATATATGGAATTAAATGGTGTAATTTTTGTTAGTTTTTGGCCTTTTTTTCTGTTCTCTTGTTCGTGGGCTATCGTGGAAAAAAACCCAACAATTAACTTTATCGAAATCTTTACATCTAACACAATGGGATGCAAAAAGAATAAACCAATCCAATGGGACACAAAAATAAAAATCTAACCCAATGGGACACAAAAAGAAAACTGTAACCCAATGGGACACAAAAAGAAAACTGTAACCCAATGGGATCTCAAACAAAATCTAAGGCAACGGGGCCTCAAAGAGAAATCTAACCCAATGGGACCTCAAACAACATTTAACCCAATCGGACCTCAAAAAAATCTAACCCAATAGTACACAAAAAGAAACCCAATGGGATCTCAAACAAAATCTAACGCAATGGGACCTCAAAAAAATTTAAACCTATGGGACACAAAAAGAAAACTCTAACACGATGGGATAGAAAAAAAAAATGTAACCCAATGGGTCCTCAAAAAAAATCAAACCCGATGGTACCCATCAAATATCAAATCCCAGCAATCCAATGCAGCTCAGATGCTGTTAAACTACAGGAAAGGAGAAGTGGAAATGTTTCCTACTAATTTGGAGAGCTGGTCTGACCCTCCCTCCTCCCTATTGGCTAGTTAGACTTCCTGTCACAGAATTGGGCCAAAAACGTAGGTGCTGGAAGCTATTTATATTTTTCTGCTCACCATCATATGTGGGCCAAGCTGGCCAGCAAAAGTGAAAATTCCTAAAAAAAAAATGTATCTGTAAAAATATAACTAAAGACAACTGGAGTTGCTGTATTTTTCTTGAAGAAGTTTCACTTCACGTTGGCACCGCTTCACTTCAAGAAAAATACAGCAAGTCCAGTTGTCTTAATTTATTTTTTCACAGATATACCATGACCTGGATGTGTGAGAACCTTCCCAGACACAAAAACATTTGTTGCTGTAACTGCTTTTAAATAATTTTAGCTGGAGTTGACCTTTAATTTGTTTTTCTCTTCCTCAAACTAAGAAGTTGGCATCTCCGGCCCTCCAGCTGTGCTTTAGTTACAAACACCAACATGCCCCTGCACCTGGGAGTCAAGCCTGTCACTGTCAGTCTTGCAATGCCTCATGGGACTTGTAGTTCCACTATAGCTGGAGGGCCGTCGTTCTATCAAAGATTGTGACTGGGTTGGAATGTGTGACCGGTCACGTGGTCACACACTTTAACGTAATCACACCCACTTTTTTGGCGGTGGAATATGTGACCGGCAAAAGGTGAAGAATTCCAACGCTTTCTCAGCTGTTCCAGGGCAGATCGGCATCGCAGATGGTATGTGCAGGAGAACCGATCTGCCCAGGAACAGCTGATCGGTTCTGAAATGTGACTTTGTGAGTGCAATCTCACATTCCACAAAGTCGGATAGAAGTCACATTTCAGGACCAATCAGCTGTTCCAGGACAGGTCGGTTCCGTGTGACCGACCTGTCTTTTAATCATCAGCGATCATCGGACGCAAAGTGCCTTCTGATGAGCGCAAGGTGTATGGGGATCCTTAGACCGCGGCAGTGGAGGGGCCCCAGGGACCGGTCTAAGAGCCAGGCGGATCAGAGGGTCAGGTGAGTATAACTTTTTTAAAATTTTGAGCCCTGGACCAAAATGAGCCATTAACCCTTTCAGTGCGAGGGTAGCCCCGCTGCAAGGGTTCATATTAAAATGTATTCGGAGTTCTGACCTTTCGCTATGTGGCGCTATATGGTTTGTCCGAACTCATGTAACTGTCCACAGCGTGAACTGATGAAGGAAGTGGGAAGATGATGGAGCTCCTGGCAGGATCAATAGGTAAAAAAACGATGTTACAGGAGGGGGGAAGGGGGGGGGGCTAGATCTGCTGAGTTATTATTAGTGACAGACTGCAGGAGAAATGTCATTTTTGATGTTGCTCAGAGTTACACTTTAACTCAATTATATAATTAAAATTGTCACCCTGCGTGATGCTCATACTGCAGTTTTTGGGAAACAGAAGCCGAGGGGGTATCCTAGGTGTCAGCACTCTGAAGGCGGCCCCTCTCAGATCACCTGCAGATGCGGTCTGGTAATTTGAAGTTTTGCCCATTAGGTTAGGGATGTGGTGCCGTAATATCCCAAATACAGTGCAGTCCATCTATGCAGGGCCGGATTTCCCACAAGGCCAACCAAGGCCCGGCCTCGGGGCAGCAGGGAGTAGAGGGGCAGCAGGGGTGTGGAATTCCAATCTCCCGACGCCCGGGACATGCAGGCGGGTACTTGTTTTCTACATTTAGCCCTGCTTTGAGCAAGCAGAGCTAAGGGCTTCTTCACACTAAATGCAGACCAGATCTGCATGAGTTTCTGCACACGCAGTGCAGTGGGTGAAGCTGCGTTTTTGATGCATTCCGTGCCGTTTTTGGGGAATTTTGTTTTTTTTAGTTTAACCACTTGCTGACCCCCTTCCTGTCCAGGCCATTTTTCAGTATTCAGCACTGCGGTACTTTGACTGACACTTATTCCGTCATGCAACGCTGTACTGAAATACATTTTATACCATTGTTTGGGGACAGATAGAGCTGGCCGGATTTCCCACAAGGCCAACCAAGGCCCGGCCTCGGGGCAGCAGGGAGTAGAGGGGCAGCAGGGGTGTGGAATTCCAATCTCCCGACGCCCGGGACATGCAGGCGGGTACTTGTTTTCTACATTTAGCCCTGCTTTGAGCAAGCAGAGCTAAGGGCTTCTTCACACTAAATGCAGACCAGATCTGCATGAGTTTCTGCACACGCAGTGCAGTGGGTGAAGCTGCGTTTTTGATGCATTCCGTGCCGTTTTTGGGGAATTTTGTTTTTTTTAGTTTAACCACTTGCTGACCCCCTTCCTGTCCAGGCCATTTTTCAGTATTCAGCACTGCGGTACTTTGACTGACACTTATTCCGTCATGCAACGCTGTACTGAAATACATTTTATACCATTGTTTGGGGACAGATAGAGCTTTATTTTGGTGGTATTTAATCACCACGGGGGTTTTATTTTTTACTATATAATGAAAAAAGTACCGAAAATTTGGGGGAGAAAACTGTTTTCCCTATGTTATGCTATAAAACAGTTATTATTACCCACATTTTTGGCAAAATATAAAAGGTTGGGTCACGTCGGGTAAATAGACACCAAACATGCCAAGCTTTAAAATTGCGTGCGTCCGCGAACTCGCAAAAACGACAATACCCAAAATTGGCCATAGGCGACGCTTTAAAAGCTTTTACCGCTCATCAGGTTAGTGTTATCAGTGATTGATGGGCCGAGAATTATTGCTCTCACTGCGACGTTTACGGCGATTCGTAACATGTGCGGCGTAATGGAAGCAATCATCGTTTATGCACTTAGGCGCACTCAACGCATGTTTGCATGTGTATGTGGAAGGCGGGGGACTTAAAAAATCTTTTACATTTTTTTAATTACCTTTATATGTGACTTTTAATTTTGTTAATATTTTTTTTGTAACTAATTCTTTTAAACCTTTTTTTTTCCACTTAACTTTATTGCTATCACATAGGGAACTAACAAGCCCCCTTTGTGATAGCCAATTTTCAGTGACAGGTCCTCTTTATGGAGACATCAGGGGTCTTTAAGACCCCTAATGTCACCTAAGGACTCCCAGAGAAGCTGATGAAGCAAACACCTGCTTCACCAGCTCCTCTCCAGTTTACACATCACTGCCTGCATTCCGAAGAGGAGGAGGAGATCAAACGGAGCTCGTGTACTGAGCTCCGTCTGATCTTCGGCAGCAGAGCTGCTGTGCTGTTCCCGGGCTCACACCGGGAACAGCGGAGCCCGGGATCGCCAGCAGCAGCTGCGGCGGAGGAGGGGGCGCACACCCGCACGCACATTACAATCGATCGGGCGTCTCTACAGACACCCCAAACGCTTGTATGTAAACAGCCATCGCCGGCTGTTTACATTGCAGGCTGATTTCCCGGTCGTGCACGCACAAGCGGGGCGGGATGGAACGCCCACCCGCATTCAAGAAGCCACTGTACAGCCATTTAATTACAACGGCCGGACAGCAGGTGGTTAAAATGAGCTTTCAGTGGGTTCCTGGGCGTTTGCATGCGTTCCACAGCAGGTAAAATGGGGCTTGCTACAGTTTTTTTACATGCTCTGGAACTGAACGCTGCGGTGTGAACTAGAGCCCAAAATACCATTGGAATACATTGGATGCAGTTTTGATCCGGTCTGTAACAGATCTGCTACTGGAATGCGCTTGGTGTGAACAAGGCCTAAATGTACAGCGGGGAAGCCGCCGCTTGTTTTGTACAAGTGATGTCGCCGAGATCAATTGTTTTTTCCATTTGCAGAGGTTATCAAACACCCCCAATTGTAGGTCAACGTCCCAGAGGAGGACCTCAGGAAATCAGAAGCAGTGCAATATTCTGCGTGGCGGTAATGTTGCAAAAAAAAGAAAGAAAAAAAATTGCAAAGTTTGCATTCAATTTTCCAGGTAGACGGTGCACAGAAAACAAAATAAACGTTTGCCCAAACTTCCCAGGTTGCAAAATTTGCACAGACACCTGAAGACCAAAACAAATAATGAAAGGTTTGCACAAATGTCCCAGGTTACAAAATCTGCACAAACACCTGAAGACCAAAACAAATAAATCATAAAAAAAGATCAATGTGCAAAAACTTTAGTTAAGCTAATAGTTTAGAGTTAAACCAATGCAACATGCAAAAAAAAAATTGAAAAGTGCCACCTCTGCAAAGTAAAAAATGCGGACTGTCTAATGTTTTTGGATTAAAGGCAAAAATACGTTTTGGGGTTTAAAAATTGTAAAACATTTTTGTACAAAGGAAAAAAAGAATTGCAAACTATATAAAAAAAAAAAAAGTCAAAGCTTTCTGCAAGCTTGCAGAAAAAGGAAAATTGCTTAGTAAGCAGAATGCTAAAGTTCGCAGCCTCGGTCCAGACTCACCAGCTGCCTCTCCAGCTTCACCTCCTTCTTGAGCTGCTCCACTTCCATCTTTGCTTTATCTTTCTCGGTCAGGTCGTCTATATTGATGACCGGCATTTTCTGGTGGGGGAAAAAGGGGACAATATACGCCGCTGAAGGCTTTCTGCCGCTGGTCATGGCGCTGGGAGGGCGCTAAGGGGACAGGACGCGTCTGCTGACACATACAACTTACTTGTGTTTCAGGGGTCCCTGTTCCGAAGTCCCTGAAGTAGCCGCTTCCTCTGCCCTGCACTCCGTCCACCAAAGCCAGTCCGACAATAGGCACTTAGCGCTTTTTTAAAGTCATCTGCATAATCTGTGCTAATCTGATCCCATCAAGGAGCGCTGTTCCCCTCCAGCGCCAGTCCGAGCTGGCCAATGCCCCTGTCACCGCAGCCACACGCCCCAATTACCTGCCTGCCCTGCTAATAAGAGCTCCTACAGGAGGTCCTGCGCTTCTGCTGCCCTTGTCATCCTCAAAAGGTGGAAACTGCAAGTTTCAGCATGCCCTGTGGTGCATGCTAGGGGTGGTAGTCCCATCATTGTGACAAGTGGCTCCCATTTAGAGGGACAGTCCCTTTCCTGGACGCATAGCGAGCTGTGATTAGTTCAACGCTGGCTCTAAATTGCAGGGAAGTTCCTGCCTTTGTTTTTGGAATTTGCTGTCCCTGGACATGTCCTGAGTTTGCACCATTATGTCCCTCTGGTTTATGTGTATTAGCTTCAAAGTTCTCATTCTATTCATTGTTATTTATTTCCCATAACAGTGTATTGATAAGGAACATTTACATACTCAAAAAGTGGTATATATGGAACTTGGTGTAAGATGACATAGTACATTTTATTTAAAGGGACAGTGCATCCAAAAGTGATACATATAGGTGGAGCTTGGCCTGAGTTGATAGTAGTCGGCTTTATTTAAAGGTTCAGTGGACCAAAATGTGATATGTATTGGTGGAGCTTAGCTTCAGTTGATATAATGAGCTTTATTTAAAGGGTCAGTCAACCATAAAGTAATATGTAGAGGGGGAGCTTAGCTTGAGATGACATAGTAGGCTTTATTTAAAGGAACAGTGCATCCAAAAGTGATATGTAGTAGTGGATCTTGGCTTCAGTTGACATTGCAGGCTTTTTTAAAGGGTCAGTCAACCAAAAAGTGATATGTATAGGTGGAGCTTGGCTTGGGTTGACATAGTAGGTTTTATTTAAAGAAACAGTGCACTCAAAAGTGATATGTATTGGTGGAGCTTGGCTTGAGTTGATATCGTGAGCTTTATTTAAAGGTTCAGTAAAGCAAAAAGTGATATGAATAGGTGGAGCTTAGCTTAAGAATACATACAGGTCTATTCACTATAGGGTGAAGAGTTTGGAGAAGGCAGGAGAAGTGATCAATCTAGGACAAAATAGCCGACTTGGAAAAATTCTCCAATTCAGCTCACTTTCCAGTTCAGCTATGTTGTCCTAGATTGTTCCCTTCTCCTGCCTTCTCCAAACTCTTCACCCTTTTGTGAATAGACGCCGTAGGCTTTATTTAAAGGGTCAGTGGACCAAAAAGTGAAATGTAAAGGTGGATCTTGAGTTGAGATGACATAGCAGGTCTTATTTAAAGGAACAGTGCACCCAAAAGTGATATCTAATGGTGGATCTTGGCTTGAGTTGACATAGTAGGCTTTATTTAAAGGGTCAGTCACCAAAAAGTGATATGTGTAGGTGGAGCTTGGCTTGAGTTGACATAGTCAGTCAACCAAAAAGTTATACGTATAGGTGGATCTTGGCTAGAGATGACATAGCAGGTCTTATTTAAAGGAACAGTGCACCCAAAAGTGATATGTATTGGTGGAGCTTGGCTTGAGTTGATATCGTGAGCTGTATTTAAAGTTCAGTAAACAAAAAGTAATACGTAGAGGGGGAGCTTAGCTTGAGATGACATAGGCTTTATTTAAAGGGCCAGTGGACCAACAAGTGAAACGTAAAGGTGGATCTTGGCTTGAGTTGACATAGTAGGTTTTATTTAAAGAAACAGTGCACTCAAAAGTGATATGTATTGGTGGAGCTTGGCTTCAGTTGATATAGTAGGCTTTATTTTAAGAAACAGTGCATCCAAAAGTGATATGTATTGGTGGAGCTTGGCTTCAGTTGATATAGTAGGCTTTATTTTAAGAAACAGTGCATCCAAAAGTGATATGTATTGGTGGAGCTTGGCTTCAGTTGATATAGTAGGCTTTATTTAAAGGTTCAGTGGACCAAAAAATTAAATGTAAAGGTGGAGCTTGGGTTGAGATGACATAGTAGGCTTTATTTAAAGGGTCAGTAAACCAAAAAGTGATATGAATAGGTGGCGCTTGGCTTGAGATGACATAGCAGGTCTTATTTAAAGGAACAGTGCACCCAAAATTGATATGTATTGGTGGAGCTTGGCTTGAGTTGATATATTGAACTTTATTTAAAGGGTCAGTAAACCAAAAATTGATATGAATAGGTGGAGCTTGGCTTCAGTTGACATAGTAGGTTTATTTAAAGGGACAGTGCCTCCAAACGTTTTATGTATAGTGGAGCTTGGCTTGAGATGACATATTAGGCTTTATTTAAAGGGGCAGTCAACCAAAAACTGAAACATATAACTGGAGCTTGGCTTGAGATGACATAGGCTTTATTTAATGGGACAGTCCACCCAAATTGAATATATTATAGGTAGTACTTGGCTAGAGTTGACTTAGTGGGCAACCCACCCAAACTGAGTGCAATCTGGTGAAATGAGTCAGCTGTTGGGTTTTATAGGTGTTGGATACTCCAATAGTTATCTCACCCAGCCTTAAATTCTGACTCTGTTCCTGTCCTCCTGGGAGTTTTGGTGGTTTCTTCCACCTTTGCTGTTCCAGGTACCTCCTGTTACATTCTCCATGATTCCTAATATATCAAAGAAATCTATCATAGATGGTGGGAACCCCTCACGAAGGGCACAGCAGGGGTGCAGTCCTGGAAACTCTGCACAGAGGTCTCACCCATAGAGTCCGCAAGAGGCAGAATACACTGTCTGGGGTTTTAACTCACCAACAGTATCACTAAAATATCAATTTCGGGTTGACTGGCCATTTTAAAGGAGACCATTGCTGCCTTCTCAATATGCAAATGGTTGTGTCAGAGCTAGAGTGAAGTTTACTGCACTTGCACACCTCATGTATATTGAAAGCGTTGCTGGGACCATTAGGTTGGAACCACACTTGTGTATTTCGGCCAGATTGAAATCAATGGAATTGCATGATCGTTTTGCATTTTAACATTTGCCGATATGAACTGCAGGTCAACACACACAATGACTTATAACAACGCATGTTAATTTGCACCGATGCAAGCCACATCTTGCCAAAAAGCGTGTGTAGTTTATACCACACAGTATAGTTCTGCTTCATGTTGTCCACTATGAGAGAGCACGCCTAAATATTGGATGGGCTTTCCATAGTGTGCTGTGGTAGGTGTCCTCTAGTCCCTTGGTTCTCAACTGGTGGGTCGTGACCCAAAAGTGGGTCGTGACCCCATGTTTAGTGGGTCACCACATGCCTTCCACTTTCCTACGTGAGAGGCTCCTCAGCCTCGCCCTAGCGCAGCACTTTCAAAATATGCTGCCCGGTGCCAAGTGTCGACCTGAGGTGGGGTGGGCTGGGGGTATGGCCGTGAGGGAGCTCCATCCATACGTGCATTGCTTACAGCTCTCTCGCGTGTCCTGTAGAGGTGCCTGGACCGGAGTGGTGTCACATTCTTTTTTTTTTTTTTTTTTTAAATGATGCGTTTATTAGCATATAGTCAAACAAACATTTGGGTACATATCATTGGCAGATCAGTACATCATAAACATTACTGCGCCTGCAGGCGAACAAAGCCATGCAGACCACACGGTAACAAACAAGAATACAATAATACAATTCAGGGTCATAGTAACAGATGGATATATATATGGACTACCTTAAGCTGCGGTTGGCCAGCATGGGCAACTCTCGTATTATATCACCTGTCCCCCGAAGGACAGGGTCTGTCGGTTTGCACCCCCATGGAATGTGATGTCACATTCTGGCTCCCACACCAGGCGCGCATGGGAGCTGTACAAGCAATGCACATGGAGCTCCTTACAGCACAGCAGTGCACATGGACGCTGGTAAGGTAGGGAGACTAGGTGGAAAAAAAAGAAAAAAACTTTTTTTTTGGGGGTGCTATATGTGTGTGTGATAATTTCTGTGAGTCAGGGCCGGCCTGTGGGGTGTTCGAGCTGTGCGGCCGCACAGGGCGACGTGGCACACTCTAGCAGCCAGGCTGGACTGAGGAATGGGTGAGTATATCTTTTTTATTTTAGATCTATA